AGTACCTGAAACTCAGAGTGGATATTCTGGATCCAGAGTAGGACACATCAACATCGTTTATGGCTGAAGAAGTCAGAGATGAGGTGAGTTATGGGTGGTAGGTAGTGGGACAGCTAAGGACAGAGACTCTCCCTGAGAACGCTGGCCGAAGTCCGGGAGGATCCTGATGCTCATAGATCATCTGTAGACACGGATGGAACTGTGCTTTGGACAAAAATGTCAGCTGGACAAGCTGATTGGAATATAATGAAATTATGGACAGGATCAGACCTGGAAATGTGTGTTTGTAGCCTGTGTGGCCCTGAGTGATGCGATAGATAAGGCCGTCACAGGTCACCACGAAAAGTGAGGTTCAGAAGAAGGTCCTGGTGATGGTTCAGGTGGAATGTCACGTCTGCAAAATTTAAGTTGCCTTATAAATGCAAACAATGTGAGGAAAATAATTCTAAAACGTATTAATCCAGCTCTGTAGCCACTGAACTACCTGATCAGACACTAAAGCAGAGAGGATTCCTGCCAACAAATAATAGCAGTCACATGTCTAAAAGGAGTCACATTAGATGCTGCCTGGAAAGAAACCGAACCTATAGTTTGTGTGAAGAAGGCTGTGGGTCTCTGACGCCATATTCAGCACAAAATGAACAGCAAACAAATTTAATATCTGTGTGATAGTGTGGAAGTTGAGATTTAGGATGGACAATGAATCAAAATTAGTTTAAAATCAGAGAATATTTTTTATAGGGTTCTCGTGAATGAGGAGGTCCCCCAAACAGCCACCAGAGGAACCTCCCCCTCGCACAAAGTCACTATCCTTTAAACATATCAGGAGTGTGTTGTTATGCAACAACCATAACTCACATCCAGGGACGGATTAAGGTGTACAGAGGCCCCTAGGCTACAGTAGTCTGTGGGCCCCCCAACCCCACCCCCCTCAGAGCCAATGGGGGCCCCCTTGCAGGCTGGCACACGTGGGGCCCCTAGGCTTAAGCCATATCTAGCCTGTGCGTTAATCCGCCCCTGCTCACATCACTCATTTTCTCAATTCTCTTCATCTCTGAAGACTTTTGTTTCCAGTGCTGATATGACGTTTATGTAATTGTTATAAAAACGGAACTGCAAAAAATATTCTAAATGTCTAATATTCTACCATGGTAGTGACCGCAGAAAAACCCAGCCTGCCACAAAAATTATACCCGCAGTTGTTCAGTGAGGAAATGGCGCCACCTGCTGGACCTACCGGTTATTGCTGGCTGAATCATTCTGCTCATCCGTTGTCCGCGAGATTTATAACTCATAATAAATTTTGTTATCCTACAGAGGTCTTATTTGCTTAAAAACCAAAAACTCATTCATTACAATAGGTTTTAGACAGACAGTCTACATTGCCAATACCAAGTGACTTCACTGGCATCCTAAAATAAGTCCTAGACATAATTAGCATAGTGTTCATTAACACAGCAGCGCCAACGAAGGCTATTTCTGTAATTTGATCTCTAGTTAACTGGCCTCCTTCCAAATATAACATTTAATGCAAAGCGTACATAAAAGAAAGACGGGAACTCCCAGTCCTTGGAAAGCAGCCGGTTTAAATTTGTTTATTCTAGGAGGAGCTACTGACCAACCCACGGCAAGACGGGGAGGCGGCCCGGGGGGCAGGGAGACGGACCAGGGAGGGGAGGGGTGGTTCGCAGCAAGACAAACGGCATTTACTAGAGATCCATGGCTAGATAAACGTCCTCTGAGTCAGGAGCATTATACAAAATGCATACGATTGTTATGTGGCTTTGGACAAAAGCGTCTGCTAAATAACGTAAATTATAATGTTTTACAGTTAGTCAAACCCACAAAGTAGCGCCGTAATATATTTAGCGCACTTACAGTGGACTGGTGGTGTTACTATTAATAACAACACATTAGTCAGTAGGGCTAGTGCTGCAGTAAAAAATCATATGCCGGCTGGAAAATGGCAGATCAATAGACAGTACAGGACTTCGATAAGCTAGAGACCAACCCTGTATCCCAGCACAGGGATAAACCGTGAGATTCCCTAACTCCCTAACTGTGACTTTATCATTTTGCATTTCATTTCTCGAGAATGACACCGCCAAGTGTTGTTGTAAATGCTGTCACTCTGTGATCCTGGCCTGTGTTATATCCTATAAGAACAGTGTACATAATACGTGGCTCACACATTTAGGCTAAATTCTAAGCTTTTAAAAGAATTTTGGGTCGTTTATTCTGTAGTACAACAACATTCCTGCCATGCATCGACGGTGAGAATCTAAACTATAGGGGGTGGATTTTGCTCATTGTAAATAAACCACAAATCAATGTATCTGCTGTTTTATCACGTGTATCGAACAAAGTAATAAAAGACATTTATACAAAAGGTTGTTTGCATGCTCTCCACGCCCCCATGTGGTAGTAATGCAAACTTACAGCCATGCAACATTTTTAAAACCTGGGTTCATAACAATACAGACCTTAATGCAGATCTCAGGACAGGTAGAGCTGCATATTTTCATCAAGGATCTGCTGCTGCACATCGGCTGTGAAGTGTGATGGCTGTCAAACCACCACGCCTGGTATTATTCAGCCATTCAGACCTAATAAGACAAGATGTCCTAACAAGTGCTGTCAGTCAGTCACATGGCTAATTATACGCAGCCCCAACTCAGCAACACCTGCACTCACAGGTAGAAACGCAAACCACTCCCCCCATTATTCAACTGCTCAACAGGCATTTTCCAAAATAAAGCCAAATGCCCCCTAACAAAAGCACTATTTCAATTATCCATCCATCACCGTCACTGCTGAACCCCAACCGGGGTCGTGGGGGGGGGGACTAGAGCCTATCCTGGGAACAAGGGGCACAGGCAGGAACTAACCCTGGGCAGTCGCCAACACACTGCAGGGCACACACACACACACACACACACACAATTACAGGGCCAACTTAGAGTCACCAATTAACCTACTGTGTAAATTTTTTTTGGACTGTGGGAGGAAACCCAAGCGCTAGACTGGACCCAGGGACCGAACCCAGAACCTTCTCACTGTGAGGCGGAAGCACTAACCGCTGCGCCACCTATCCCAGTCAGCAACATCAGCATCATATTATTATTATATTATTGTTGATAATAATAATATATGCAACTGTATATAACTCAGTAAAACTCCATACTTGCATTCTTTTAAGAAAAAGAAAACTGCTAAAAACTCTTTTACGCGAAGCAGAATGTGATAAAAAGGTGCCGGCCCGCATGCCATATCTGCAACGGTCCCAGGTGACTGACGGCGTGGCAGACATGCCCGGACGACGAGCCACACTGAAACTCGCCGTGGCTGCATCTGCCGGCAGCCCCGCCGCCCCCACCTTCAGCACCGTTCACACACACGCGGGGATTACCGGACATCAGAACGCCAAATGACAACGGCGCCATCGGCAAAAGGGACAATGTGAAATCCTTATATTTCACTACAGTGTCCGTCCCCGTACGCGATCGCTGTACTTTACCGATCATCAGCAGCTCACTCGGAACCTTCCGGCGACAGCCATATCCCAGAATCCCCGGCTGCAGTGCCCAGGAGACCCTGTGCCCCAGCGGCAGTCGCTCGGTACGTGGTGCTGTCAAGATCTGCCGTTAGCGGGCCTAACATCTCCCCACGACGGGCACCAGCGTGACAAAAGAACGGGCGTCTCATCCCGTATCACGTTGCAGGAAAGCAGCCGGGCGGGTTCTGCAGCCCCCTGGCAAAAAGCAAGGGGGGGGGGGGTGAAGGTGGAGAGGCAGACCAAGTGTGGGAGATCGAGGTCTTGATGGCGCAGCTCGGGGGCGTGGATCGGAGCACTGGAGAGCAGCAGTCACGGACCGTTTGGCGCTAGAGTCAGGTGCCGTATCGCCATCACAACGCTTAAGATCACACACAACCACTGAGCCTTGGATCAGAACATTCGAAACTGGCAACCTTTTATTCATTCGGGGGAGGTGGGGGGGTGAGTTGGAGGTTATTTAGCTGAAAACCAGTTTCCCTCCAGTGAATCTCAGCCCACCTGAACAAACATTTAATTATGAAGGGGGGTCACATTCAGCTAAGCACACACTCTGGATTAGCTCAGGAAGGTCACCTGTAGGGCAGCATAATTATTATACACCAGCAGAATCCCCTCGTTCACTTAATTGGGGTGTGTTTGTTTTCAGCAGATTTCAACCATCTAAAGGGCCTGAAAGTCTGCATTGGGTGTGCAGAGAGGAGAACGTTTAAGAGCGAAGGTTTGTGAGCAAGGAGCTGAACGCGAGAATGCGTTACATTCGGTGTGTGCGTGCATGAGTGTGCGCGTGCGTGTGAGTGTGTGCGTGCGAGTGCGTGCGTATACATGCATGTCAGGACAGAGAACTACAGTCCACAGCAGTTCCTGGGAAACCAACCACAATAAAACCAGAGCAGGTCACATGGGGGGGGTTCATCTTGCATGTTAGTCACCTATTAGTCTAATCGTCTCACCCACTGGCTTGTGATGGGGTTAAGCCAGGCAGAGCCTGACACCACACAATATCTACTTCCCCCCCCCCAATTTTCCCATTTCTACTCCTCATTCAGGCCACCCGGGAAACACACAAAGGACGACTTGACATCAACAACCTGAGGTGAGAGAGTGATCCAGAGACGGAGACCCGGCCAGATGACAAGAGACGAGACAAGTCGGTAGCCAAATTAGTCGGTTTATTTTAAAGAAAAAAAAAAAATTAAGAAAAATAAAATGTTACTTTAAAAAGCAACCAATATTCCCAGAGAAAGAAGTTTTCATCTTCCTTCTTCCACAGAAATACCAAAGCAGCCGTGTAAGGATAAAAACACTAGGTAGTATGTACACACACACACACACACACACACACACACACACACACACACACACACACACACACACACAC